ATGAAAAAGGTGATGACAACAATGGCATGGTTAGTGATTAATCTAGACATTGTTAAACCTAACCTGATCATTTGATTGATTATGAGAACAATTGGCCATCGGAGATTATGGAAGGCCATGAAGGCTAGATTTGAGGTATTTTTGCTGTCTGTGTGCTTGCTTCAAAAGAGAAAGGGGGGAGGGGGGGTTGAACGTTAGAGAAAGGGAGGGGTGATAATATTGCTTTGCATTTCCTTTATCATGATTGAGATGTTCATTATGGGCCAAGAGTTATCTTCTGACCCACCCCCTTTTCTTTTGTAATGTTTTGAGGTGGGAATGGGTATGGCCAACCGGAAACAAATAAATTCTGCATTTTCTTTGTTATTTTGGCATTACTAACTGTCAGTTCTCTGATGAATTGATTCTTGCAGATCAACAAATTTAGATTCATGGTCTCCAGAGCAGTTAAAGATGATGTACTTTGGTGGAAACAACCGTGCTCAAGTTTTTTTCAAGCAGCACGGATGGACAGATGGAGGCAAGGTTGAAGCCAAGTATACCTCCAGGGCTGCGGAATTGTATAAGCAATTACTATCAAAAGAAGTTGCTAAAAGTAAAGCGGAGGATGCAGGTTTGCCAGCATCACCTGTTGCCTCTCAGGGTGTGCAGAGTACGAATGGATTTTTTGAAGTTAAGACTAGTGAAGCTCCAAAAGAAACCTCATCATTTAAGGAAGAAACTCCTGCTTCGCCCAAAGCATCACAGTCGGTTGTTACTACTTCAATTAGGAAACCTATAGGTGCAAAGAAATCTGGGAAGCCAGGTGGTGGACTTGGAGCTCGGAAACTTACTAAAAAGGTATTCTTAGTCTTATGAGCTAGAGAAATGATTGCAGGGTATAGGTTGCATATTCTGAAATGAAGAATTATATGTGCAGTTTAGAGTAAGCTGTTTAACAAATTTGCTCCACCAATTTGGAGTTTATTAATTGATTAAGCATCTTTTACCAATGTACAGCCAAGTGAAAGTCTCTACGACCAGAAGCCTGAAGAACCGCCTGTTCAAGTTTCTTCCTCCAATTCTACAAGTGATGCATCAACTATTGGTTCATCATTCGCATCTCGCTTCGAGTACACAGACAATGTTCAACCCGCTGAGATGAGTTCTGGAGGCCCTCGTGTTCTTAACCATGTATCCCCTCCAATGTCCTCCAGCTTTTTTTCGGACTACGGAATGGACAGTGGTTTCACAAAGAAGACAAGTTCAAATACGTCAAAAGTTCAAGTGAGTTTGTATTCTAGTTTTGTTTTCAATCATATGAGGATTCTAATGAACTGTTACAGTGAAACTTTAATGTTGACATGATTATATGTGAGATATAAAGAAAGTGATGTCGGACTTGGTTAGAAGGTAAAGATATAAGCTTCATTTTTCACCTTGATATCCCCAGGAATACTAGTTCCGTGGTACGGCTATACTTTTTTCACATCCTATTACCTATTTATACTTCTACATTTGATCTATCTGAAGCAGGCTTGAGTTTTTCTGAACCTGCATAAGTGCTATCCAAGATAAGCATTTAATGTATACAAATAACAAAAAGGGCAGCTTGTTGCACTAAGCCCCTGCTATGTGGGTCCGGGAAGGGTCGAACCACATTGTGTCTGATGTATGTAGCCTTACCTTGCATTTATACAAAAAGCTGTTTCCACGGCTTGAACCCGTGACCTCGTGGTCATGGCAGCAACTTTTATTGTTGCGCGAAGGTTTCCCTTCCATTGAGCTTCTGAAAGATTGGGGGCAGTGATTTGTGAAAGATTTATTGCTTTATAATCCTATTCCAGTATCCTGCGCTGCGAACAAGTACGAGGATTGTTACTGAATTGAAAAAAAAATTGTTGCCCTTGGAACTTCGGATGCTTCTCGACAGTCTATTTGCTTTTCTTTTTTTCTTTTTAAATGGAACTACCCATTAGCACTCTTGAAATACTTATTGCCCCACTCCCTTCCCCACTGAAGAAACATTTTCAGTAGGTTAACCCAAATCGCTAGTGTGTCTCTACCTTTTTAGTCATTCTAGAAAAAGTAAATGTTCATCCTAAACATTACCAGTGCAAGTGCAAGTTTCAAGTGTCTGTTACTAATAAAAAAGAAAAAGAAACAACTTTCCGATGTTTTCTTTGAAATCTAGGTTGCCTGGAATATTCTTCGCTTTTTTCTAAACCTCATTTGTGTTGGATTTGTCCTTTTATCTGTGATTTACTGCTCTCACTCAGTTCTTTTGCTCCTGATAGATGAGTTGACCGCTTTGCCTAAGTTATTTCTGTAGTCTTCAAGTATTCTTTTCTCTCTTCTCCTTTATCATCTTCACTGGCAGTGTTTATTTCACTGTAACTCACATCCTATTTTAATCAGATTGAGGAAACTGATGAAGCAAGGAAGAAGTTTTCTAATGCAAAAGCAATTTCTTCTGCCCAATTCTTTGGTGATAAGAGCAAAGCTGAAATGGAAGCCTCAGTTTCTCTGCAGAAATTCTCGGTATGCTTGCTTATAGTAGCTAACATTCTCATATATTTAGGGGCCTTGCTGGTTTTTCAGTCAGCATGGAAACAATGAAAACCCCTCCCTTCCCTCATTCATTATGATAGTTAGGGTCTTTGTCCTACTAATTAGAAATAACTATTATCGCAACAACAATATGCCCCATGTTCTCCTTTTTTCTTCCCATTCCCTTTTGTCCTTTAATGCACCGTACTTTTTCACATGCTATCATTTTGCTGGGAATTTGTGGTAACTTAAAAAGAGACTTGTCTATATTTTTCATTAATGTGGTGTTCATGCTTTCCTGAGCCGAGGGTCTATTGAAAACAACCTCTCTATCCTCACAAGGTAGGGGTAAGGTCTGCGTACACACTGCCCTCCCCAGATCCCATGTTGTGGGATAATACTGGGTATGTTGTTGTTAAAAAGAGACTGTTTAACGGTTACTGTGAGGGCCTTCTACAATGGAACTTATTAATTACCAGTACTTGGGTTGCAGAACCACATTTATCTGTATGTTGAAGATACCTTATTGATGTTGTTTACTTATTGAGGGATATATGATGGATAATTCTTGAAATTCCATTTATGGAGATAATGGTGAAACACCATTTGCCATAACTTGAGATAATGGTGTCTTGCTGACCTCTTGCTTGTTCGCTTCATAATTGCTTATGTTCATTTGCATAACAAGTTATCTAAATACTGCTGGTCCAATGTAATGTGGAATAGTTAACCCCCTCAGGTCTTTTTAATACTTGAATCTCATTTAGAAGTAGCTTGTAATAGCTACTTCAGCAAATGAATATGATCTGTAAGCTAAAATGATCTGCACAGCTTATAGCATTAGTCCTAATCTGATTATTTACTTGTTACATTTGCCTGTCGGGTTGCTTCCGCTAGCGCTTATTGTATATTTACTTCGTCAAAAAAAAAACTTGTGCTTATTGTGTATTTTGTCTGACTCACGTCTGAAGAATCCTTTTAGTGTCAATTTCTAAACGAGTTCAACTATATTACTTGAGCTTGACCTGAAAAAAGATAAGTTCGCCTAAAAATGTATGAGTCAGACTCGTGCACCTAAAAATGTGTTCTGCTATCTATTCCTCAGGGTTCAAGTGCCATTTCTAGTGCAGACCTTTTTGGTAACGATGATAGAGCAGATCTGGACCTCACTGCTGGTGATCTCATTAACCGACTCTCTTTCCAGGTATAGAAGCAATAATAACACAAACGTAAACGCTTTTCAATTCCCATAAGCAAGTTTTGAACGGAATGCTCTTTCGTTTGTCTCTCTGTTTTCAGGCACAACAGGACATCTCCTCTCTGAAAAATATTGCTGGAGAAACTGGAAAGAAACTTGGCTCCTTGGCAGCAACCTTAATGTCCGACTTTCAAGACAGAATCCTGTGAGGAAGTCACCTTGGGTTTAAAGTCGTGAAGAGGGAGGTTACGGGATTTGTATGAAATTTTTTCAGAAAGTGAAAATAAGAGTAGACCTCATAGGTTTTTGAGGAAGCTGGTCTTGTCTTATTAAAAATTTCCTTATGTATGTTTTTCTTTTTCTTTATTTAGTTCTTGACGAGGTTCGTAGAGCTTTGTTAAACATTTTACTGTGTACTAGACTGCGTCCGAGTTGTGAAATCAGCGAATTGTAAACTAGTGAAAACTATTTCTCAATGTGTTCAATTAATTATAGGGTATGATTTTATTCTCTTTATCGACCTGGCATATTTAGTCGATTGTGCATATTGCTACCACCATTGGCAGCCACTACTATCATTCCCAACTAGTACCGTCATCCCAATTCGTTATTACAATTGCTACCACTGCATAATTGTCAGTCAACTACCACGGCCGCCAGCTACTACCACCACACCTACATACATTTACCATCAGCTACGACTACCAAAAGCTACCACTTTACAATTAGAGGCGTATTCGGTGTAGAAGCTATGAGTTCATTTGTCTCAAAAAATCATTATATATGTATAAATAATAAATTTTGAACCCACTAAATTAGATGAAATGTGATAGAATTGCGAATCTGAACTCATAAAGTTCAAATCCTGGATCCGCCTCAGTTTGCAACCTAGTGTTATTTTATAAGTACTACATTTTAATATATGTATTCAAATTCAGATATTTTAATTTTACAAAAAAAAAGAAGATGTTCCTTTAAGCTAATTTTATCTTTGTGAAACATTTAAACAATAATAAGAAACTCAGTAATCTCACAAGTGGAGTCTGCGGAGGCTGATGTGTATGCAATCTATCTTTGTGAAACATTTGAAGACAAAAATAAAATAAAAAATACAGTACTTCTCTTTCTTTGTCCCACTTTATTCGATATCAAATATTTTAAGATTTATTAAAATAAAAAATATTAGACAAAAGTTAGAACGGAGGAAGAATAACTTTACCATTTGGAGCAATATAATACTGTTTTATATTCACAATATGAAAAAACAAAATGACATTAGGCAAGTTTACTCCCCACTGTCTCTCTCATTGGCTACATAAAAGGTCCCTCCAATTGATAGAAATGTCGGTTCTACTTTCCCTCCCTTTTCAAAACCCTCCAATTATCAAATCCACTTCAATTTCCCTCCATTCTTCAAATCCATAACTACCAAATTTGTCTTTCCCTTTCATAGATTACAACAATCTAAGTTCAAATCGCATCTCAAATCTTCAAAAAAACCTACCTTCAAAACCCAATTTTTGATTACTTTTCCCCCAAAAAACCCTTTTCTCTCCGTTTTTTCAACATTTCAAAGGACACCCATTTCGTAAAAAAGCCTAAAGATTCATTCTCTACCATTAAATTTAGTTGATTTTCACCAAATCTTAACTGGGTCATCCCCAATCATACCCTTCAAAAACCCTAGTTTTTAACCCCAAAATTTCAAGAAAATCCTATCTTTTTATCTGTTGGTTTGACATTTCAATGGAAACCCATCTCGTGGAGAACCTAAAAACTCAACCTTTACCTGTTAATTCAGTTGAGTTTCAAAAAACCCTAGATGGGTCGTCCCCAAATTCGCCGAATCAAGCTCAGCAAAGTGATGAAATGGAAAAAGATGGTGACGTTTTGGCAGAAGAAGATTCCAGAAGAGTTGAGAATGTGAAGGAAGAGAATTTGGATTTGGATTCTAATTGGGCTGATTCTTGGGCCAAAGTTACTGATTCAAGCCCATTGGACTCACAATGGTCTGTTGATGCTGCTGATTATGGGCCTTCGTCTTCTAATTGGGCTGATTCTTGGGCCAAAGTTACTGATTCAAGCCCATTGGACTCACAATGGTCTGTTGATGCTGCTGATTATGGGCCTTCGTCTTCTAATTGGGCTGATTCTTGGGCCAAAGTTACTGATTCAAGCCCATTGGACTCACAATGGTCTGTTGATGCTGCTGATTATGGGCCTTCGTCTTCTAATTGGGCTGAATGCCCTTCAGAAATAAAGCCATTGGACTCAATTGGGCCCGAGTGGAATTTTCAAAGAGATGAGGAAACTAAGCCTGAAATCTCTGATTTACCCTTTGAGAATCAGCCTTCTAAGCTGGTAAGAACTTTGTCAATTGGTCAGTTTACACACACAAACACATATTATTTAAGTTAATTCTTCTATAGTTATAATACTTATTTTTTTTTTAATTTATGTAAATTTATTTGATTTAGTACATAGATTAAGAAAGAAAGGGCTCTTGAAACATGCCATAACATTTATGTGGTTACTAATCTTGGTGTATGCGCGTTGCGCGTGTATCCATATCTCATTGAGTAATTTTTTTAAAAAAATCGCTTAAATATTCTATTAATTTAAGTTAAGTTATATAATAAACATGTAAGTTTATAAAATGATGAATATTGATCCTAAACTTAGTAATGAAGAACTCACCCCATAAAACTACTTAATCATTAGTTTAAAAGTTGTAAACTTTTTAGTATTTAGTTATATGCAAATCCTATGATGAGATTATAACGTATCAATGACGTAGTTTTAGGATGTGCGCGCTCTGCGTGCACTTATTCTCAATGAGTATAAAATCAAATCACAAATATTATTAAACTATGTAATTTAGTTATAAATACTAGATTTTAAAAATGCACAAGCCCTTGAAAATAATTAATATTGATCATATTTAGCCAACTTAAGAAAGTAAAAAGCTATGTCACACAAAAGTATTTAATGCATTATTATAACTTCAATATATGAGTTGTGCATTTGTTTTAGTAGCTCAGACAACGTAGAATAATATGTTGACTTATACCTATTATCATGCAACAATACAATGTTCTTCATGATCTTAAAAAATAAATTCTATTTTATCAAGTACCTAATATGAATTTCATCTTATTCATATTGGAACTCAAATAAAAATATACAAAAAACATTAGTAGACCCAAGTTGTTACTTTTAGTTAGAATACGGAGAATTTATTGGCTGGGTATTATTTAAGCCCAACTATTTGTTTCTAGAAAAAATAAAATGATCGTTAGGAAGGGTAAGGGATAAATTAATGCTTATTATTGTTTATCCAACGCGAAGTGTACAATGTGATATAACTCTCCAAAGGTATAAAAATGTTTCATGTAGATTTGAAGTGTATTCATATAATCATTACAATAGTGTTTAAACTATATATTTTTCAACATAAACATTTTAAGTTTTTTGTTGATTTATAAAATAGAAGTATAGTTAAGTAATTAGATTTATTCGTTAGTAACATTTTAGTGAAACACTACTCGAGTCCAACTGATTTGATGTTATCTCACTTTATTTTCGAATAATGTTGTTGATATATTCTCTTTTATCATTTGAATGACTTTGTAACGAAAAAAATCTTACTGTGAATGCGATATTTATCACTAATTTCAACCAATTGCTCGTACTCATAATTAATAAGCATTATAAATCACCTAACATTAAAGGAAATGATTTAATAAGGAACACAAAATTTTGTTGATTAAAAAATCATAAAATATTATGAAAATAAGAAAATGACTCGGTTATTCTTATCGTTTATCACATTTGAATATTCAGCTTTGTTCAGCTCTTGATTAGTATGTAAACATAACTCGCGACACTCAAGTTATTTATAATCTAAAAATACTTTAAACACTTATACATACAAGTCATATCATTAAAAATTCTTAATTTTCATGTAATAATATATTCCTGTATTTTCCTGTGAAAATACAACGCAAATAAAATACATGACATTTGAACGATAATCCAGTTTAGTTTTGCTAAGTGGTTGAGTTTTCTATTCTCATTTCTCCATAAATATAGTTTTGTCATTTGTTCTAATTATTGGATTTAGATTTAAATTATTATCCAACAATTGAGAAATAAAAAATATTTTAATAGGAAAGTAATTCTAATTTAATATAAAAATATGATATAGTTCATATATATAGGCCAAAGGTTATACTGGGTATGTTGTTGTATATAGGCCAAAGGTAAAATAGAAGGAGTTAAACACATAAGTGCCACAATACATTCCTCGCAAGTGCCGCAATACATTCCTCATAATCTGATTAAACAAATGTGATTCAAAAAGATATTTAAACGTCGAAACTAATGATAGAACAAATTATAGATAAAATTAAGTTTGTCGCTTCTATTTTACCCAATTCTACGGAAGAATCTCTTAGCAAAATATGCCATACTTGACTAACATCATAAATTTTTCTTGATTTTATTGTACGGTGATAATAAAGTCTTGATCAATTTTAGTCCTATATTAGGACTTTTTACATAGTTCAAATAAGAAATACTTTAATAACTAAAATTTTAGGTGATTTTAAATTTTTTGAATATCAGGAAACTAATTAAATTACAGTTTTATCCAATATAATGTTTTTTAAAGAAAAGAAAAACAGAATTTATATTGGATAAAATTATAATTTAATTATTTTTCTAATATTTAGGGCTTACATTTTAAAGGATAAAAAAGTGAATGATATTTTGCTAAGAGACTTTGTACATATAAGATAATATTGATATAGATATAAGCTTCTCATTAAGGATAAAATGTGAAGTCTAAATTAAATTATTTTTGAATCTAGAAAGGTGTCATGGACTAAAAAAGAAATAGATTGAAACGGAGGGAGTATTTATTAAGATAAATTAGGCATTGCTATATTTGTATGACATTTATATAAAACTCATTATAGTTATTTTGTTTTGTTCATGCCTATTTTATTCCAATACTAAATAGTTTGTCTTTTAAGGCAAATTAGTGGTTCTTGTATGTATAAAACATTTCAATCAATTAACACATTATCAAACTAGTTGGTTCGGCTGTATGAATTCTTTTCATCATTCCACTTAGTCCAGTCTTATTTTTATTCCAATACTAAATACTTATGTCTATTCAGGATCATGTGTATGCCATTAGTTCAAATAAAATCTCATTTTTGCTCCTATGAACTCACTTGTTTTTTTCTTCTCCTTTTGTTATTGGCTGTTATTAGGGTGCTGGACTTGCTAACTTAGGCAACACATGCTTTCTAAATGCGGTTTTGCAATCTTTCATGCACACAGTGCCTTTGCTTCAGCACCTTACGTCGAATGATCATGTATCACCATGTGATAGTAAGGATTAACACAGAATTTGCCTTTGTTTTAAGTTGCTTTGAGTTATTTCAGTGTATTTGATTAAAAAAATTTCTTCTTTTTGGAGTGGCTTTTTCTTTGAATTTATTATCAATGCTGATTATCCTTGCTTGTTTATGTATACTGGTTGCAGGTTACCTTAGAGGATTCTGCGTACTTTGCGCTATTAGGGAGCTTGTTGACCTTTCATTGGCTTCTGGGGGTGATGTTGTCTCGCCGTGGAAACTTGTTAACAATTTGAACCGTATCCTTTTTCTTGTCTTGTTTGTGAGTTAATAAAATATTCCCTTCTAGCACTCAGGGTCGGAGCTAGAAGTTCGTGGTCGGGTTCGGCCGAATGTAATAGCTTTTGCTCAACCAATGTATTTGCGTTAAGAAACTCATTACATATGTAAAATTATTAAATTTTGAACCAATTATTAATACTTGAAGTCGTCATTCTAAATTCCAGAACCTATAAAGTTGAAATCCTAGCTCCACCTGTGCTAGCAAATGCATATGTATAGTATATCAATTTCACTGCTTAGATGTTTTCTACTCTGATGTTTTTTGTTATGTTATTTCATTGTGCTTGTGCATGCCTTCCAATTTCTTCCAAGAGCTATGCTCTTTACCAGATTATAAGAAATTTGGCTTGACTTTTGTTATAGTACTGTAGACTATGATACATTCAAGTTTCTTTCTTTTCTGTTTTTACTATAATTGAAAAGGCCGGCTTGTGTGCTTCATGCCTTTGAGCCAATGTTGTACCTAGTATTTCTTTGTAGTCCTTAACTTTGTGAAAATATCAGATTTTTCATCCAGTTTTCATAGGTTCCAACAAGAAGACGCTCATGAATTCCTCCAATGTTTTCTGGATAGACTTGAAAGCTGCTGTAATGATTCAGGGCCAAAAGACAGGGCACCATCAGAAAGTGACAACATTGTGAAGCAGGCCTTTGGTGGTCGCCTTGTCAGCAAAGTAAGCATACAAGAGTACTATCTTATTCTTTTTTTTAATTGCTTTGAACATAAAATGAATAGATTAAATAGGTTTTCATATATTTAAATTGCATCTGCATGCAGTGGCATACACTGGAATTTTTGTAAGCAGTGAATATTTTAAAAAGCAAACAAATGAATAAATCACTGTAATGGCAAGCAGTGTCATTTGTTATATTTATATCCAATATTTTATTTTTATTTATTATTTATAGATACAATAGACCCTTATGGTCCGGCCGTTCCCCGGACCCCGAGCATAGCGGGAGCTTAGTGCACCGGGCTGCCAATTTATAGATACATATTACGAAAAAATATCGACGAAGCGGTGTCATGTGCCTACACCCCTGTTTGCATGTGTGTTCTCTGGGTATTTAGCTTGCAAATATGGAATTAATATTGTTTATATGTCTTTCTTAAACTGCAGCTGCGCTGTTGCAATTGTGGTCACTGCTCCGACACTTATGAGCCTCTAATTGATCTAAGTTTGGAGATTAAGGATGTTGACAGTTTACCCGAAGCTTTGGAGTCTTTCACAAAAGTTGAGAAAATTGATGATCCAGAGATAAAGTTTTCATGTGAAAAATGTAAGGAACAAGTGTCAATCGAGAAGCAGCTTGTGCTCGATAAAGCCCCTTCTGTCGCCGCCTTCCATTTGAAGAGATTTGAAAATGATGGTTCTTTTGTTGAGAAGGTTGACAAGCATGTTTCATTTCCACTGGAATTGGACTTGCTTCCTTATACTGATAACAACCAAATTAATAATGTGAGTATTTGTTGCTTATGTGAATCTATACTTGAAGTTAGTTTTCATGTGAAAAACGTTGCATTTGGACTTTTCATGCATTTCCTTTTTTTACCAATTTTCTTCCCTTCACTTTACCTTATGTGAGAAGAAACATGATGTTATTTAATTTTCCCTTTTCTCAACAGGGAGAAATGAAGTACGATCTTTATGCAGTTATAGTGCATAGCGGGTTTTCATCCTGTTCAGGGCATTATTACAGCTTCATTCGTTCTGCACCAGATGAATGGTACAAATTTGATGACTCAGAGGTAAATACAACAACAACCCAGTATAATCCCACTAGTGGGGTCTGGGGAGGGTAGTGTGTACGTAGACCTTACCCCTATCATGGGTAGAGAGACTGTTTCCAAATAGACCCTCGGCATCCTTCCCTCCAAAAACTCCCCACCTTGCTCTTGGGGTGACTCGAACTCACAACCTCTTTGTTGGAAGTGGAGGTTGCTTACCATCAGAGCAACCCCTCTTGTCCATCAGAGGTAAATAGCATACTGGAAAAAAATGCTCTCTACTGTATGTGGCTTAGCGTAGGACTAATCCGTAGATTGTGTAAAATTTCTGAATATTTATGGGGACGACTAATTCATAGATTTTTAGTGTAGGACTAATCCGTAGATTGTGTAAAATTTCTGAATATTTATGGGGGACGACTAATGCATAGATTTTTAGCGTAGGACTAATCCATAGAAGCATTTACGACAACTAACTTGATATTTTTATTTGATTGTCATAGGTATTTCGGGTTCAAGAAGATCTTGTTTTGGAAGAGGAGGCATATATTATGTTCTATGCAAAGAGAGGCACTCCGTGGTTTTCAGATTTTGTCGAAATGAAAAAGTCCTTCATAGATCCGTCCATATTTAATACTTCTCCCAAGTCAGTTCTAGATAATGTGGATGCTATCTCCATAGCTTCTCCGCGCATGCCAAATGATCTTGCTTGCAATGTCAGTGAATCCAATAATGCTGCAGATGAAGCATCTCCTAAACCTGACCTCGAAAAGATTGAGGATAGTGAATCAAAGTATACTGAGCAGACGTCTACTCCAGGACTATCTGGTGCGATGAAATCTCTGTATTCTCATGTAGATGAAGTGTTTTTACCTTCAACGCATGAAGAAAACTGTACTCGGGACATAGGTGTGACCAAAAGAAGTGTAACTCTTACTCCCAAGACACTGTCTAGATCGCCAAGTCCAGAGATATACCGAGATGATCCCCCAGGTAAACTCATCTTCTACTTTTAGGAGTCGTTTGGTTGATTGTATTAGCATAATTAATCTTGGCATAAAATCGGCATTAACTAATGTGTTGTTTAATTGGCTGCATAAGAAAAAATATAATTGACATATAACTAGTGCTATATTTGGTTGGTCGCATGAGAAAAAGTAATTGCCGCATATCTAATGCAGCATTTTCTTGGTGTTGATAAGTAAATTACATTAAATTATGCGAGAATCTATGTATTATTTTATGTGAGAAAGAATGTGGAATAAAAGTATGTGTATTAGCATTTAGTACTCCGGCTTTTGATTATTTGAAGCCAAAAATGCCTTTAAAATAAGTAAATCTGATATAACAATTCTTTCATTTTGTTTTATAGTCCCGGCATAACTAGTATGTGAGCCAAACGGCCCTTATTTATTTGAGAGTCCATGCCATTGCCTTACTAAATGGAAAAAGCATAGTGCTAAATAACTGGTTTTTATTTGCAGAAAACACTTACGCCATTCCTCGTGGCCATCTAGCATTAGCAGATCCGGTTTCTTTCAAAAACCAATCTCAGAAGGATCACGAGCAGGACTTGGAAAGAAAACAGGCGTGTTCTCTGATTAAGAAGCGAATTCCAGGGTCAAGAGGTCAACAATTAATGGCTGCTATGCGTGGCTCGCGTAGTGAAGGTTCCGTGAACAAGAAAAGGAGAAAATTGGAAGTAGTTTCTCCAAGTAGAGACGATACAGGTTCAGCTGGTCGCCGTAGGTCCAGCTTTGGCTCTATGTTACATCCTGTAACGGCGGGCAGTTCGAGATGACTAGGTTTTGATTTTGCAAACACTTGTTGTTTGTACCTCTCTTTTGTTGTAACTGGAAAATCTGAACTGAAAGAATAGTCTTTTTGATTTAGAACTACAGGGGTAGTGTATCTTAAACTGGCTAGGGTAAAACAGGCAGCTCGGTGCACTAAGCCTCTGCTATGAGCGGAGTCCGGAGAAGAGCCGGACTACACGTGTCTATTGAACTGGCTAAGGTAGTTTTCGGATATTCAGCTGTTTAGTTTGTTATTTAACAATGTATAGTAGAGACTACAGAGTGAGAATTCATGTTATTTTCTGAGAGTTCAGAAGATAACATACATATAATGAAGGATTAGGATTTTGTTTATCCAGTTTTCTTTGGGGTCCACAAGAAAGTATAAATAACTTTTAATTTAATGTTTTTTGAATATAATATTAAGATTAATTAGTATTTTATTTGAATTCTGTATTTTCTTAAATCTTCAATAAAGTTAAATGTATGCATTTAGATGTTGGTAGAACGGATGTTCGTCTAATGTGTATTTAGATAAGATGTTTTAATGGGGCGTTTGGACATAAGAGTTGTAAAATTTCGAAAAAAATGAAAATATTTTTAAGTAAAAATGGTATTTGAAAATTAGAGTTGTATTTGGACATGAATATAATTTTAGATTGTTTTTGAATTTTTTTGAGTGATTTGAGTGAAATTTTTTGAAAAAATCAACTTTTTTTTTTGGAGTTTTTTCAATTTTTTTGAAAAATTTCAAAACTAGTGAAAATTGAAAGTTTTATGGCTAAACACTAATTCTGAAAAATAATATTTTTTTTTGGAAAAAGTGAAATTTCATAGCCTTGGGCTCTTAACATTGAAAGAACGAGACACACCCCAGGCGAGCAAATTCCCACTAAAATTCGTGAGAAGCTAAAATTGCTGCAAAATAAAATTGTTGTAACGGAGCGTCAAGCTCATAACCATAAATGGTAGGGAGGACAAAGTTGTTACATGTTATATTGTATCGTATTGTTACTTTAAATACAATATTTATTTTGATTGCTACTTAAATTTTATTGTGTTGTATCATTAAAACTATTGTTATGTAACAGTGAAAATTGTCACTTTATGGAACGACCGATTTGGTGTGATCGCGTCATCACCTTTTTTTCTCTCATCTTGCTCTTCCTTATTATTAAATATTCCTATTTTATCCTTTATCTTACGTTTTTATATAATAATTTACCTTGTACCTTATTTTTTCTTTATAATATTGCAAGTTTATTCTTCATATCGTTGGTGCGTAACTTCATGAACCGACGATAAACAATACAATCTATCCAAATATTGTATACATTAAAACGATATGCACAATACCATGCAAATGTAATATTATACGATTCATTATGAAATGATACATAACAACTAGGGGCGTCAATGGATCTTTAAAAATCGACTAAACCGATCTAACCGAGCCGTACTGAACCGATTATTAGGTTTATTTTAATAAAATCGTAGGTTTTTATACAAATATATAACGTACCAATAACTAGCGTGGTTTTTTTATTTTTACAAATAAAGAAAAATACCGAATTGTACTGAATAATTTTATATTAAAAATATTTTTTTATATATTACATTTAAAAATAATAAAAATTAGTTTTTTCATTGGCCTTTGTGATTACGAAAATATTTACAGCCAACAAATAATTAAAATCCAAAGCTCAACCCTCAAATATATTATGCTAGTCCTATTGAAATTAAATTAGATCTAGCTAGCATCTTAAATAGCATACCATTGGTATTCCAGCGATCTTGAGTGACAAACCATAAGTATTGAACATTTTTCCTCTCGTATGATTTAAATTTTTCTTATTGGACACTTAATTTTTCGAATAGACTATATTTTTGACTCCAATCTTGATCAACATATTCCTACTCATCTTATCTATATTTCTTTTGTCTTTATTTAGTTTCTTTTACGTTGTAGTAGAATAGTGAGACGAAGCTCTATATATTCTGGCTATCTTTCATATTCCCTTGATTTAGCGTGTTTTAAACTATAAAAATGTCTAAATTTTTTTACCGAAGTCTTGAGTAAGTACTTATGTTCTAACTTCTATTAGCAACTCTTATATAACATTTCAAGAAAATTATCGAAAATTAACCTAACTGTACTAATACCGATACCGATACAGAAGAGAAATCGAAATGATCGGGATGGTTTCAAAAAATCTAATTTTCGTTATACAAAATAGAGTAATTGAAAAACCGGTTTGGTATAAATTTTTGAAAATAACCGACCTAACCGAACTATGGCGTGATGACCCAAAAGGTCATCTTATGCTTTAAAAATTTAATTCTGCGTTTCGAGGCCTAGAAAACCTCATTTTTATTCCTCCTCGATTTGTGTGCGCAGTATGGGCATTCTTCCGGAAAGCCCTTATGTGAAAAATTGATGAAATAATAATTTTTGGCCTAAAAGTTTATTTTAGTTGACTTCGGTCAACGTTTTAGGTAAACGGTCCCGTACCTATATTTTGACGGTTCCGGTGGGTCCGTAATAAAATATGGGACCTAGGCGTATTCCTGGAATCAAATTCCGAGGTCCATAGCCCGAGAAATGAATTTTTGATGAAAATTGTAAAACTAAAATTATAAAGGTTTTAAGAATTTGGTTAATAATTGATCTTGTTGATATCGGGTTCGTATTGTGGTTTCGAAACTCGGTACAATTCTGTTATAATATTTACACCCTATATGTGAAATTTGGTGAGAAATGAGACTGATTTGACGTGATTTAGACCTTTGGATGACAAAATAGAACTTTTGAATTTTCTTGAAAATTTAATGTAATTTGGTGCTAAATTGGTAATTCTAGGTGTTATTTTGGCGATTTGATCGCACGAGAAAGTTTGTATGATGTTTTAAGACTTGTGGAGCCCCGAGGGCTTAGGAAAGTTTCGGATAGGCTACGAGATGTTTTTGACTTAGAAAAATCTGGTATTTTGTTGCAGCAGTTGTTCTGATATGCCCTTCTTAGCGTTCGCGTAGGTAATATCATGAAAGTGGAAGGTAAAAATGGGGAAGGAGGAAATTTTTCTTCGCGAACGCGGAGCAGCAAGGGCTTCACCATTTGCGAACACGACCTGTCTACCGTGGACGCGAAGCATGGAACCTGGGGGAGGGGAAATAACTGATCGCGAACACGACACTTGGCTCGCGAACGTGAAGGCTGGGGGGATATGCCTTCGCGAATGATGGGTTACTCGCGAACGCGTAGGCCAATAGGGCTATAGCTTCGCGAACACGACAGGCCTCTCGCAAACGCGAATGAGGCCTGTCCAGTGTTTTTAAAACAGAATTAAAGACGGGATTTCTTCAAAATTTCACGTCTTCTTCACTAGAACTCGACCTATGGCGATTTTTGAAGATGGATTTCATCACCAAATTATAGGTTGTGTTCTTTAACTCATTTTCTTTAATTTCCATCAATACCCATTAGATTTCTAGCCCTAAATCTTGTTCTTTCATGGCAGAAAATAGAGATTTTGGGAGAATTGGATTTTTTTTGCAATTTGGGGATTTAGACCTCGATTTGGGGTCGAATTTTGAAACTAATTACATATTCGGGCTCGGGGCGAATGGGTGAAGGAGTTTTGGTTCGAACCTCGAGTTTTGACCAAGCAGTCCCGGGGTCAATTTTTGACTTTTTGTGGAAAATGTTGGGAAACCTAAATTTATTTATTGGAATTGATTTCTTTAGCAATATCTGATGTTATTAAGTTAATTGTGGCTAGATACGAGTGGTTTGGAGGTGGAATCTAGAGGAAAAACGGTAATTGAGCAGTGAGTGGCTTGAGGATCGAGGTAAGTGTTGTGTCTAACTTTGACTTGAGGGATTTGGAATCCCCGACTTAATTGCTATTTGGAATTTCATGTGCGTGGCGTATAGGCATGGTGGCAAGTACCTATGCATAGCCAAATTGTCTGTTTAGCCTGTTCCCTTTCCCGTTTCTATTATATTGTCTTCCTGTCTTAACTGCTACATACTTATTGGTTCTTCCATGTCTAATTTTTCTTGTTAGGTGTTGTTTTCTTTATTGAAGGTATTAATCATTTCGTAGTTTTACTACTTTACATTATTGGTTCAGGGTGGTTTATCGGTGTTTCATACTATACTTTGGTTGGTCTCATTGTGTAGAATTAATTGGGGGAAGTTTCATAATTGTATAGCCTTTTATTTGCTTTGGTCTGAGGCTTAAATATTGTGGAGGGTTTTGAGCTAAACTGTGCACTTTTTATTCTTTTTGTGTTATTGATACTAATATGGTGGGATCAGGTTGCGCGTCGTAGCATGAGGAATAAAGGTAATATATTGAGGAGGAATAAGGGGGAAATGATATTGTCTGGTGGGATCGGGTTACACGCTGCAACATGAGGAATAAAAGTGATATATTGAGGAGTAATAAGAGTGATTTATTATTGTCTGGTGGGATCGGGTTGCACGATGCAACAAGAGGAATACAGGTGGATTAATAAGGAGTAATAAGGGTGAATATATATACTATTATTGATATATGGTGGGATCGGGATGCACACCACATCATTTATGTGTTTATGTGCTTTTATTCAACTGTGTAAGATATTTCCGGAGTTTTTTTATTTTATTTGAGGATTGATTATAGATGGACACCGATAAGATACATGAGTTCCGTATGTATTCCTTGCAAGTTACTGTTTTATTTTATTTTTCACTTATTCCTGCTTTATTACATACTGTTTGCAGGTTATATTGTTATTTCCCTGCCTTAGCCTCGTCACGACCTCATTGAAGTTAGGCTCGGCACTTACCGATACATGGGGTCAGTTGTATTGATACTACACTCTACACTTTCTGTGTAGATTTTGGAGTTAGTTATGGGTGATTGAGAGTTCGGTTGCAGGAAATTTATCTAGGAGACCCAAGGTAGACCTGTTGGCGTCCGCAGGACCTGGCGTCCCCTCATTGTTCTACATTCCTATTTATCTCTTTCGTTTCAAATAGATATAATTTCTTTCAGACCAGTATTTGTAGTAATTCATAGAATGCTCGTGGATTGTGACACCAGTTTCTGGGTGGTAACCATTTCGGTATTATTGATAGTATATAGATAACTGATAGTAGGCTAGCATTATATAGTTTAGCTACCTTTTACACTCCAACTTAGCTATACTTTATTGTATTATGAATGTTAAATGACAACAAATGGCTCTAATTATGAATCTTATGCTTTGCAGGAGCTATGAGGACATTAAAGAGTGTATTGGAGTTAATTTGGAGCTAGGAAGACCAATCGGAGGTGAGAGCACGCAAAAGAAGAAGAAAAAATGGA